AGGAGGCATCTAACATCAGCGGCCTTCTCCCAGTCCTCCCTTGCTGGCTTCATATCTCTCTTCGTCTCTCTTCTATGAGACATGAACACAGAGGCAGCAGATAGGAACCAAAAGGCAAGAGGAAAGTGTGTTCTTGGAACCCAAATCCTTGCTCTTGGAATCTTATAGACTCAGTGGAATGTGGATGCCAACACTCATGGAATCTCCAAGGAATGCATGCTGATGTTGAAGAGAGAACAGTCCCTCCCACTACAGACAATCAACCCTAAACCTTTCACACCCGTGCCTAAGTTTCTGTAAACTAACACACTTTGTCTGACATAAAATAAATGTCTCTTTGTAAAGACATCCACTTATTTACTTCTCTTGTAGTCAGCCTATAAAAACTATGCTTTTGTGACTTGGGATCTGGACATGTAAGGAGGTCATTTTGGGAGCTCTGCCCTAGCAGTGGGCTGTGTTAGTCTATTCATCAAGAGTGAGAGGCTTCAAAACCACTATCTTCTCCATTGCAAAAAGATGAGGATCTGCCCCCTGAAAGATGTAGAGCATTGTTTTACCAATATGGCTGATACTGCCCATGGTCGAAACTGGAGTGAATGGCATGGGGCAAAAGCACACAAGTCTGCTCTCTGTATGGGAGAGAATGGGGGCTTTCTAATCGTACAGAGAGTTACCGTCTCAGAAACTCTTAGGGGCACCCTATTCTGTCGTGCAGGGTTTCTATTACTCATCATCAACCAAGGTCTGTACTATTTCACTACACTTTATTCTGGGTTATGGGCTATCATATATACACTTTCGATTGCCATCAAGGTGTACGTTTCCTGTGTTGATGGCAAGGAGGCAAGCATCAGCGCCAATCAGTGTGGGAGCCTCTGATCAAGAGCCTTGAAGGAACTTGGGGACAGTTTCCATCTGACCTACTGTTCACAATGAGGGGGACGGGACACAAGGGCACTGGGTTCAGTTTTGTTATGTTTTATGATAGAATGTGTCCTCCACAAATGGATCTGCTATGATGAGATCCTATATTAAGACGTTCCACAGTAAAGGTTTCAGGGTGCGTTAATAGCCCTTAATCTCTTCTCCATCTTTATCAGATTGATGTCAGGGGAGTTTTCTGAGGTGTGTTACCTGATCTTTTCATCTCCCAAGGCTTTTTTTTAGAGAAGTGAGCAGAGAGAAGCAGGATCTGAATGCAGCAAGACAGGAGACCTGGAGGTCACGTGCTCTCCAAGGCAGGTGTGTCTGGGACATTAAACTATTCATCCATTCACAACCCTGAGGAAGTAGATAGCAAGGGAGTTCCTCTTGGGTGTGGACAAAGTGTGTTTCATCCCTTGAGAGATTATAAGAGAGGAAAGTGTAAAGACATAGTCGGTAGCTGACTACAGCCAGTAAGCGACATGCATCTTAGGGTTTGTCTCTGGGCCTGGGGTTCCTTCCAGAAGAAGCTCCTTGAGACAAGGTAAGACTGATACCTAGACACATGCAGATACAATGAGGTTAAGGCTTCAGGTGATGCAAGGAGACAAGGAACTAGCCTCAAGCTCAATTAGGAGAGAGTTTTCTCCTCCAGCTGAAGCCCTGGATTTGATTTCACTCACCTGAATGATGAGACAATTACCAGTACTTCTGGTTGGTGATACTTCTCTCACAAGAACACTTGAGAACTAAGAGAGTGTGCTGAACTCTTCTTAAGAGGCCAATCCTTCAAGCCCGCCCTTTGTGATCCTTACTATTCTCTAGAGAGATTCAATCGAGGTGGCCAGAAGACACAAGTAAATATCTTTCTGGTTTTCTCTGCATTGAGCCAAGGATCATCTGACATCATCAATAGCATCCCTTGTTCCATGTCCTCTTCTAAATCCAGCCTGAACCTCTGGCAGCTCTCTCTCAATGGCCTGCTACCAGTTATGAGATGTTCTTCACAAAATTTACTTCTATAGGATACCAATGGTAAAGTTGTATAATTTGAGCATTCATTGTCTCTCACACGCTTTCATAAATCTAGAATACACAACCACAAAGAAAGAATGAATGAATGTAGGCATGGATTAATGAAATAAAAAATGGCTGCGATTCGAAAATAAAATAAAAAAACCCACAGAGCTATTATTGGTAAGTTATCAGGAATAAGCAGGATCACTGAACAAAAAGTAACCAGGCAATACCCCACCATTTCAAGAAGTACGTGAGACAAGAGGCCTTTGGGGGACGGCAACAAGAGAGTGCTGACCTAACAGGAAAAAAACACGGAGGTGGGACCCTCAAGGATGGATGAGGGCATACCTTAGCCAGGAGCCAGGTAGCTGGTGAAAAAGAATGGGCATGGAGGGTGCACAAAGTACAAGTTTGCACTAACAAGATTTTACCTCATTTCCTGGAACCATTGATCAGTACTTGCCTCGTGAGCATCATCAAGAATTGGTGTCCAAGGAGCTGGACTGTGTGGGAAAGGCATAGACCCCAAAGTGTTTGAATCCTTTCTGAACATTAACCAAAGATTCAGATAATCTTACCCGCAGGTAGAATGCCTCAGATGGTGGATTTCCCTCTGGGGCCAGCACAGAGAGGGGCAGACCCTGTTGGGAGGTTTGCCTAGCTGTGCCCTCGATGGAAGGCCTTGTAGGAGGGAAGGCACAGGGGTCTGCATTGTCATGCGTCATGCATGCATCAGTTTGGCCCTGACTGCCTTGGTCAGAAGGCTCTGGCCTTTGGAACAATATCATACGCAGCGATTCTCAACCGGTGGGTCGCGACCCCGTTGGAGGTCGAAAGACCATTTCACAGGGGCCACCCCATTCATAACAGTAGAAAAATTACAGTTGTGAAGTAGCAACCAAAATAATTTTATGGTGGTGGTGGTGGTGGTGGGGTCACCACCACATGAGGAACTGCATTAAGGGTCGTGGCATTAGGAAGGTTGAGAACCACTGTCGGTAAGCCCGTCTATCGAACATAATGTACGTGTCCCAATCACGGCTCCTCCCTGTTTCTGTAGTCTCACCTGTGAATGGGATGTATGGATCTGCCTCCCATCGTGCAGTTGTGACCCTTGCATTTGCCTCCCCAATCCAATATCTTGAGTCGCAATTGTGAACCCTAGGACGCGATTTCAACCTCGTGTTGTCGGTCTCCCTTGTCCAAGTGACGTAGCTCTGGTTTTGTGTTCTCTTTGTCCATTTTCAGACTTAGCAAATGTTCTCCTGGAATTATCTTTGAGATATGGTCTCTTTCATGCCCTAAGACACGTTGCAATGCCTCCTTCTGCCCAAGCTACAGCCTTGCCCACTAAATACCTTTGATGCGCTTTCCTCCTCTGTAAATTAAATGGCATTTTGATTGAATTGAATATAAACTATAGGTATAGTCTCTCTATTTGTCTGAGTTCTCTCACAGAATAATGGTACTGAAATTCACCCATGACACAGAAATAATTCCTTTGTGTGTGTGTTTGATTCACACATTGATGACGTTTATAAGGAAAATGTAATGGCCGTAGACAACTTTGAGAAGAAAGACATGAAAATATCAGTAGAAAAGTAGCATCAATATAATTCATGTGTATGTAAAAGCCATCTTGATGATCTTCAAGAAACTGCAAACATGATCTCCTGATAATATAACCCTGCCCAGATGCTAGACAATGTATGTGTACTTTGTTGCTAAGTTACAGAGAACTGGTACTGATACCTTGCTGATGGAAACATATCATGGATAAAGATGGAACATGTAAGTGTACTGTAGTTATTCAGGGAAAATGCTAAGGATGAAAATGGAACAATTTGGGTTGAATTAGCATTTATGTGCAAATTGGTATATTTCTACCATTCCCTATAATTTTCTTAAACTATTTGAATATTTTCTTTTTTATGATTATACATTTAATTGGAAGCTCTTACAGATATTGTAACAATCCATAATTTAATTAGATCAAGCATAATTGCACAATTGTTGCCACCATCAATTTCAGAGCATTTTCTTTCTTCTTGAACATTGACGTCAGCTCCCCTTTCTTTTCTTAATGAAAATGCTTCCCTCTTTGCTCAAAATAAAATATATAAGCAGTTCTGAAGCTTTTAATTTATTTTTTATTAAAATATAATTTATTGGGGGCTCTTACAACTTTTACAACAATCCATACATAAATTGTTAGGGCATATTTGTGCATATGTTGCCGTTATTCTTTTCTAAATATTTACGTTCTTTTTTTAAATCATTCTATTGGGGGATGGTACAACTCCCACCACAATCCACACATACATCCACTGTGTCAATTACACCTGCACATTTGTTGCCATCATCATTCTCAAAATGATGCCATCATCATTATCAAAACGCTCCCCTTCCACTTGAGCCCCTAACACCAGCTCCTCATTTCCCACTCCCTCCGCCCCCTCCCCTTCCTCATGAACCCTTGATAATTAATAAATTATTATTTTGTCATATCTTACACTGTCCGACGTCTCCCTTCACCCATTTTTCTGTTGTCCCCCAGGGAGGAGGTTATATGTAGATCCTTATACTCGGTTCCCCCTTTCTACCCCACCTTCCCGCCACCTTGCAGGTATAGCCACTCACAGCACTGGTCCTGAAGGGATCATCCGTCCTGGATTCCCTGTTTCCATTTCCCATCTGTACCAGTGTTCATCCTCTGGTCTAGCCAGATTTGTAAGGTAGAATTGGGATCATAATAGTGCGGGGAGGAAGCATTTAAGAACTAGAGGAAAGTTGTATGTTTCATCATTGATTCCCTGCACCCTGACTGACTCATCTCCTCCCCACGACCCTTCCGTAAAGGCGTGTCCAGTTGCCTACAAATGGGTTTGGGTCTCCACTCTGCCCTCATCCTCATTTACGATGATGAAACATTTACTTTGTATTGAGCCCTTGATACCGGCTCCTATTATTTCCTCCCTCCCCTGACACTCATGACTCCTTGATAAATTATACATGATCATTTTAGCAGCTCTGAAGCTTTTTTCTGTAAACATTAAATATTTTTATTGTGATTAAAGGAATCAGCTCTTTCCCACTCATAGTGAGCCTGTAGGTTAGAGTAGAGCTCTCCCAGTGGGTTTCTGAGACTATAAATCCGTTTTAATGGCCCTAGAGTTGCTTGAGAAGCAAATGGACTCTATGGGCCATCGAACTAGAACAAAACACTTCCCGGACCTGGGTCATTCTTACAATCATTTTTATGTTTTAGCAGATCATCGCAGGCACTGTGTCAATCCATCCCCTTGAGGGTCTTCCTCGTTTTCACTGCCTCTGCAGGTTACCACGTATGATGTCCTTCTCCAGAGACCACGCTCCTGATAACACCTTCAAAGTGCTCAAAAGATAGCGGCATCATCCTCATTTCTAAAGAACACTGCTTTCAACAAGTACAAGATCAGGCAAGGAACAAAATGGTGTATGCCATCTGCCCAGGAAACATCCTCGTGAGCTGGACCCAAAATGTTTAAAACAGTAGCGATATCATTGCTTTACCATAGAGGATGAGTTGCAGAAATGAGTTGTGTCCTATTTGAGCGGCCTGGTGACTGAGAATTCTTCAACACCATCCTGCCCCCATAATTTACATAAAAATAAAACATGAAGTACATCCTTTTCCCTTAAGGATACCATGGCAGTGTGAACCAATTACTACTGATGTCCAAGTAAACATATTGAAACAAAGTTGTACAGTGTATTCTATACTTTTAATTTCACATTTTTTACATAAATGTATTTGAATTAGAGATTAATCAATCAGTTTGATGAGAATAAGACCAAAATAATTACTGAATTGATACAAGGGAATGACACTAAATAACTCACTGATAACTTTTGCATAGCTCTTTTATAGCATCATACCTGTTGCTTTATAAGAACAAATCCTGTTTTGATTATATGATCAATCCTTTTGAGTATTAAGAGTTTTTTTTTGAAAATCAGATAAAACCTCTCCTTAATATTATTCTATGGAGTTCATTGTGTAATTCTTTGTACATTGTTTGAATGTCTAAAAGCAACGAAGAGGAAATAAGCATAGCTCTCATATACAGAACTTAAAACAGTGCTATTAACAAATACATACCAAACTAGAACTCAAAACAGTGCAAATAACAAATGCATACTAAACTTGTACAAATGAGACTATGAACAGAGGCAGGTTTGGGATTGGAAATCCAGTACAAAACTGAGGATAGTCACATCAGTCCTGGATAATGCAGGTAATTGAATGATCATCTATATTGGTGTCATGTTGGCAGGCCAGCAAGCGGTTCCACTTTCCCAAGTCCTGGAGTGTTTGTTTGAGCTTGGCCATATACATGGGAAGCTTCCCCTGTTGGAGAGGACCCTGGATGTCCAGGTAACACTCGAGAGGGATAGGAAACTGCAAGAGTTGCAACTTGCACAAAGGGAGGGTGTGCCGCAACAAACCCTCCAGGGTAGCCATGGAGACTGGGATCCCATAGAGTCTGAAGAGCTCGAGCTGGGAGCAGCGTCCAAGGGCAGGCAGGATGGCTTTGAGCTGGGAGTCTGTGATCCCACAGCCACCTAAGTTCAGGATCTGAAGGGTGTCTGACGTTCTCTCCAACAGAACTTGTAGCGATTGAGGATTGAAGCCAGTCAACTTGATTCTACTCAAATTCAGGGATCTAAGGGACTTGGTGCTTGGACACAAGGATAGATATGTGAAGTCAGACTCTGAAAATGAGCACTCAGTTATCCAGAGGGTCTTCAAGGGGGCATCCAAGCATGCGAACACCTGGTCCACACGGCCTTCCAGGAACTGAACAGAGTCCAGATAGAGCTCCTGGAGCTGGGGTAGACCCTGTAACTGTGAAGCCAATAGGGCAACTAGCCTCTTCACGTCATCCTCCTCCCTCCAGGTGTTCAAGACGATTCCAGAGAGAATAAATCTTCTCAGATGAACCATCTGGCCCAGGAGAGGAGCTAGCCTGGCCAGGGTAGACAGTTCCCACTTGCAATTCACTGCCACCTCCTGGACACGGTTCAACTGCATCATTTTCAGGACCTTCTCAATAATGTCCATGCTAGTTGACTCATTAAAAAACTCCAGCTTCCTACAACAGAGAAGGAGCTGGCCCTTTCTCTGCCTGACCCTCTTAAGGAGGTATGTGAGGGTTTGATCCAAAGTGGCTTTGAGGAAGAAAAGGTCTAGGACCAACTCCACAGAAAGCTTCCTAGACATTGACTTAGACCTCTTTGCCCTCTTTCTAGGGGGCTGGGCTGCCTCTAGGTCATCTGATGAACCCACAGAGCCTTGGGCACCTGTATCAGAGCACAGGTTCCAGGAATTGCTGTGAGCATGTGTACAAAGATCTAAAACTTTCAGTTGACATCTCCCAGGGCGAACCTTCTGGGCAAGCAGGACATCTAGTCCATCCAACACAGCTTTTAAAATGTCCTGGGGGAGCTGCTGAGCTCCTATCAGAGCCCCCAGGGGCAGGCAGGTAAAGGGCCAGGTCGACACCATGGCCTTCAATGTTGCAAGGTGCCTTCCGGTGACAGCTGCTTTGAACAGAGGCAGGAAGAGAGCGATGGGCAGACAGTGCAGCATGGCAATGGCTGAGGCCTCATCCTTCAGGAAGCTCTGGCTTGCAAGGTCCACAAGACTGGGTGGGCTGTACCTCTTCATGCTGACTCAGGTGCTCTAACAGGAATCTGAATCCTTGTTGACCAGATAAGCACCCAGGAACTGATCTCAGCTTCAAGACAGCCAAGGTGCCGATTCCAAAGCTGAAGATTCTGGGCTCCTTGTCGGTTCCTCAGAAACCTTTGTCAACAAAGGGCTGTAGAGCTTGGGAAGCGTCTCAAGTTTTTAGGTTGGGTGTAAGTTTGGACTCTTCTGACTACTGTCGTTTCAGAAGCTTATGCCAAATCCACAGGTCAGATGGTGTGTGGGGTCCAAACTGTAGGTCAGATGATGCCAAGCTAGTTGTAGTATCCTAACCATGGAAAGAAAAACAAAGAATGTTATCAGAAAGGTCTCATTTCTGCTGTGTCAAACACAACACCAGGGAACTCCCTATCGAATCCCACCGTGGAGGCGATTGTAGCATGTTAGATCTCATCAACCAAACGATGCTGTCCGATCCAACCGCAAGTTCGGGGATGACTTCATCATGATAGAGTTGCCAAACCACTGAGATCCATGGCCCAGCCTCTGGGACTAATGTTTCCAAGAAACATCATTCTTCTCTTGTGACTTGGGTTCACCTGTGTACAGTTCGCTACGTCAATAAACGCATGGTCTTCTCCTTCCCCCTCATTCTGGAGACACTGACCCCAGCTCAGGGAGGGCTCCTCTGTCGAAGCAGTTTTTAACATGTACATAGAGAAGGGATACACTACTCTTTTGAACTCACCGTGGTAGACTTTGCCAAGGCCTAAATGGAGGTTCAGATGCCAGGTGATGGCTTTTCTTGACTCAAGCTGATCAATTCAAGATGGGCAAGTCACGTGGCAGGCTGTGCTAGCTGATAAAAAATGTAGAGTTTTGAGAGAGAGTCCACACATGCATACAGATTGATCTCAGCAGACAACATCAGGACCAATTACAACATCATAAGGAAAATGCTCTGAGAATTCTAGCCCATAAAACTGACACAGAATCTACCCAGTCACACAATACCCACCAGCAACCAACACGTGTGTTGCAGAAAACATAAGACATGTAGGAAAGGGGGTGTTGAGAAACCACGGTTCCAGGGATAGCTTCATCGCCGTGAACTTCATGTATGCAAATATGATTAAGTCTGCTGGGATATGTATTTATGAAACACGTTCCCCTTAGACAAACAGTCATACTTATTCCCCTTCAAATATGAGAACAGTGTTAAATCTTTCCCAACGTTTAATAACGTTCCATCCAGAGTAGAGATTCTGAGCAGACATTATACACAACAATTGGTCCAGTGTTCTGAGACGACACTTCTTGTTAAAAATGACTCCATCAGTCATGTGCCACTAGTGACTACGTCAACTCTGAATGGATCTGCTTGGAGCTGACACTCAACTTTACAAAAATATGGGGGGCATTTCACTATGACTCATGGCTGTTCCTGGAGGTAATGCATAGGAAGGTTTGCCCTTCATGGCAACCATTCAGTGCTGTGGGGCGTTTATTGTAGCACCAATAATTCCAGGTGTATGGGAGGACCGCAGTGCAGGAACTGGGGGTCCAAATGACACACTGCATGCACCTCATTTGACCTTCCATATTATTACCCTAATCCTCTGTGGACTGAATGCCCTTAGTGATAATCCATCTCATGGGTACAAGTGCTGGAATCAACAGGAAACCCCCC